GAGTGTTTAATGAGAGGGGATTTTTTAAGATCGGGCTCAGCAATACTTCTGTCCACACGTTTTATAAATTCGGTTGAAATTAATAATTTTCCCTAGATTTACACGGCAATGCTGGCAAGGTTAATTGTGTTTGTTGTGCATTTTACAACTTAATCGGAAGCTTTTTTTAAGTATTTCATATTACTTATATATTTTTGTAACCGTAGAGGTGTATTATACTTGATAGGCTGTAATGCCTAACTAAAATGAATTTACATTTTGATTTTTCACCTTAAGGGAAGAAATATGTTTTACAAATCAAAACTTCTAACGAGTCTTCATCAACTGCCGCGAAGTATGGTTACGTTCTAATTCCTATTGTACTGTTGTTATTAACAATACTATTGTCAGTAGGGGGGCTTTCATTTTATATTTTCCATTGATGTACTCCGGCGAAACGTTTTCTTATTTTTTCCCCCTTTTTATGACCTCATGATGCTAAATGATTTCTTGTGCGACACTTTTTTTTTTGTTTTCGTAACTTGATGATGTTGAGTGAACTTCGATTAAACGTTTCCTTTTTAAAATATCAGTCACGATTTAATATGTGAAATGAAAAGTATTTGGTATTTTCAATCTGAACGACACCTTATAAAGGCATAACTAAATAACTATGTCAGAGATCCCAAAATACAGGAACAGCCATCTCTAATCTTCAACTTGGCCAGAGGAAAGGCAACTAGTCAGTAAAACTCGCCGCGTACATGGTTACACTTTACGGAACAGTGGGATTAATTGTTATCTTTATATTGCATCCGTAGCTGAAAGTGCGGAACAAGTGTAGCAGGATTCCCAGAAATGAGAATTGGCCACCATTTCCTGATTACCTCCACTTATATTGTCAAATTGACCATTTACCCAATTCGTTCAAATCCGGTTAGAAAAATGTTGGAGGAGTTAGGCCGGAGACAAGATAATAGTATAAGTATGCTCGACTTATGATTGCTTTGATGTTTACGATAAACAGAAATCGATATGCGAGGTTCCTTTTAGCTACTCAAAAAACGTTGTTCGAAGCCGAAGTTATTCAAATACCTCGAATATGCACGAACTCCTTAATGTTAATGGTGTGCGTTTTTCACTAATTTCTTTAGATTTTTATAGGAAAAATATTTTTCTTTCATCGGACATTACTTTAATTTGTGAATTCATTTATATGGAGTCTAAATTGGAGAGATGATGAAAGATGTGTGAAGTAGGTATATGATAAAATTCTCGAAATTACTTTTAACAATTGAGGACTTTTTGTTACTAATGAAAACATTTATTGTAAACATAATGTTCTGTGAGTTGGTGATAAGCTTACGAAGTTAAAAATCTAAAATCAAAGGTTAAATTCCTCGCAGTGGACAGAGCGCAGATAGCCCCTTATGTGCTTTGCACTAAAAAACAATACAGATATATTAAATTTCACATTCCGAAATTATTTTCAGTTTCATAAGTTATGTTATACACGGGATGGCAAAATCTTTGGACCGGGAAATTTCAGATACTCAAGAAATAAGCTAACTTCTACATAATTTTTGCCTAAATTTTTTCAGGAAAACAAACGAAGTATTTATATATTTCTTTTAAAAGACTCCTTTTATTGGTCAACAATTTGTCCTATTGAAAACTGATTTGTACAATATTTCATGAAATGATTAATTTGCGTGTTAACTAGTCTGTAATTTGATCATTGGAACATGAGTTAAAGTAGCAAAAGTCCAATATCTACTGGTCATCCTATCAAATAATGTAAATATTTAGTGTCCCAAAATGCACCAGAGAGCACGTAGATCCTCTTGCTTCGGAGGAGAGTCTAAGCACCCTCCTGACCCCCATCCTTTAAAAGCTGTGATCAACCAAACGTTTAATTTGTTGTTCTCGTCTCTGCATATCGCGACCTCTAAACTTGGTTCTATCGACTTGCAACCCGATACGCTAACAACTAGGCCACGTCCTTCACAGAATCTCAGCCATCAGTATAGTGTAGTTGACGAGTAATGCTGAATGACGCATTTAAACAAGGGATGTAAGAAAAATGGCATTGATATGAAATCGTTTCTAATTAAAGATAACTACAATTTTTAAAGCATATTCCCGGTGTGATGAGTATGAGGACGATGGTGAAGTATACCTGTTCAGCGAAGAGAAATATACGTAGTTTGTAAATTGAAAGGTAAACAGTTGAGTGTTCGTAGTTAGTATTGAATGTGTTGTAACCATATTTGTATCATCAGTCAGTTAGTTTGGTTGCTTTAACGCAAAGCTACACATTACACTATCTGCCCTCTGTCTACCACCAGGAATCTAACCCCGGATTTTAGCGTTATAAGTCTATAAACTTACCGCTGACCCACTGGGGTACCAGCCATTTAGTAATAACGTTGTTTCATTGGAATAGGCCTAATGGTTAGTCTACCAGACTGTGAAACCGGAGATCCCTGGTTTGACCTTTGGCCACCAAAACGTGCTTGCATTTTGGGGCCATGGGTGCATTATTAGATTAACAGTTAAATCGCATAGGCATTTCATTAGAGAAGCCTAAGAGTTGACAGTGGATGTTGTTGAATGGTTGCCTTCCCTTCAGCCTATCAGCTCAAAATTAGGAATGATTAATGCAAATAACTCTTGTGTAGCTTCGTGAGAATTTCCGAAACAAACTAAATCAAATCATTAAGATATTTTGCCAAGTTTTCTTCTATAATATTCGTATACTTCCACTTTTATACAAATCAGACAACCCACATGTTGCATCACAATGGAAAATGAATTACAATGTGTAACTAAGTATAGTTTATTTTTGGGAAAAAACAAGCAAAAAACAACAACATTGATTTATTTAGCTTATTGTAACGACTTGTTAGATTTCAATCCTCTATAATAGGCTTAACCGTTAACACTTTCACTCTTTATAAAATGATCATGAAGTGTTACTTATACTCCTATACTTGTGATTTTAAGCCACTGAATATCATTGTTTTATTATATTGCTACTTATACACTTATACTTGTGGTTCTCAGCCACTGAATATCATTGTTTTATTATATTGCTACTTATACACTTATACTTGTGGTTCTCAGCCACTGAATATCATTGTTCTATTATATTGCTACTTATACTCTTGTACTTGTGATTCTCAGCCACTGAATATCATTGTTCTATTATATTGCTACTTATACACTTATACTTGTGGTTCTCAGCCACTGAATATCATTTTTCTATTTTATTCCTACTTATACTCTTGTACTTGTGATTCTCAGCCACTGAATATCATTGTTTTTATTATATTGCTACTTATACACTTATACTTGTGATTCTCAGCCACTGAATATCATTGTTTTATTATATTGCTACTTATACACTTGTATTTGTGGTTCTCAGCCACTGAATATCATTGTTATATTATATTGCTACTTATACACTCATACTTGTGATTCTCAGCCACTGAATATCATTGTTTTATTATATTGCTACTTATACACTTACACTTGTGATTCTCAGCCACTGAATATCATTGTTCTATTATATTGCTACTTATACACTTATACTTGTGATTCTCAGCCACTGAATATCATTGTTCTATTATATTGCTACTTATACACTCATACTTGTGGTTCTCAGCTATTGAATATCGTCGTTCTATTATATTGCTACTTTTTCACTCATACTTGTGGTTCTCAGCTATTGAATATCCCTGTTACATTACTTTGCTTTGCCTCATTTACTTATTTAGCTCTGTTAGACCTACATATGCCCCCCCCCCCCCATTGGCACAGCGGTATGTCTGCGGACTTACAACGCTAAAATCCGGGTTTCGATCCCCGTGGTGGGCAGGGCACAGATAGTCCATTGTGTAGCTTTGTGCTTAATTACAAAACAAAGAAACGACCTACTCATTTGTTTTATAGACCCTGTAAATAAATTCTGATAAATAAACCCCAATCATCTTAGAAACGATGAAATTATAAAGTATGTTATATTGGTATGAGTAATAAGAAAGTACTGGTAATAACTCTAGGACGATCGACGAATAAGAATGATCATATTCTGATGTTTTCGACGTCACCTTAGATTTTCACGCATAACAGTATAATAATGCCTGAGATGTGACGAACTCGTGACGTGTGATGAACTGTGTACATGATGTGCTAAAACTAGGATGATATGTAAAGGGAAAAGAAGACACACATGACATTTAAAAACTGATAATTATTCTACGAGGCCTCTACACGTGCGCTGTGTATTATATCGCGCCGCTAAAGGCCATGTTCATGCCGGAAAGAAAGACTAAAGATTGAGCGGTAAATATTCGGCCTTTATTATATGGCAACTGTACCAGCAGTCTTAACATCGATATCATTCTGTGAATATGGTTTGCTTACTAGTGAATGTAAATACACTCAGTAAATATGCAAACTTCGTTGTAAAATGACTTTCAATGGGATTCGTATTCACGGTTTTTTTTTCATTTACACCCCAAAAAAAAAAAAAAAAAAAAAAAAAAAAAAAAAAAAAAAAAAAAGAAAAAAAAAAGAGAG